AATACAGTACAGTTCTAGAATACAGTAGAGTTCTAGAATACAGTACAGTTCTAGAATACAGTAGAGTTCTAGAATACAGTACAGTTCTAGAATACAGTAGAGTTCTAGAATACAGTACAGTTCTAGAATACAGTATAGTTCTAGAATACAGTACAGTACAGTCGGAACATTTCACAAAATTAATAAAAATATAAATTTGCATTGCATTGAAAATTGAAAAGCTTACCGTCAAATATTGCTTCAGTTTTAACCTTTTTCGGATCCAAATACTGTCTTTTTGAACTTCTTTTCTCAATCTCCCTGAAAACATGAAAATTATGTGAATTTATGCTATTATGATGAATGGTGTAGGCTTCGAAAAAAATCTTCACATAAATCACATAAATTTTACGTGGCGTACTGTCCTGGTTGCCTAGTACTGATCTAGCTGGTACAAAGTCGGCCCGGTAAGGAACCGGAGTTTATAGTTACATGGTTCAAACACGTATTTTGAATCAGTGGTTCAGAATCGGGTGGTAGGTATAAACTTGATTATTTTGAAAGTATTAAAATGAAAACTGGAGCTACGAGGTAATAAAGTTGATTTCATAACTACGTATAATTTTGTCCTTTTTATTAAGTCTGCGTTGGAAGAATTAATCGTTATCAAGTGTTAACATTAAATTACTTTAGAAACGAAATTTATTTATAAAGATTATCTAAAATAATTACTGAATAAAAAGCGGGAGGTCTTCATCTGGATACAGTCTTTTATACTCAGCCACAACCTAAATTTAAAAATAAAAAATTATTATAAAAAATGTATTCTGAAATTTTTGTTGAATTCAATTCATTTTCTTAATGAATTGAATTTAGGGACATTACATTTGGGAAGTTACTTCTAAACCTTGATCTTAAAAAATAAATTTAGGGAAAATCAAATCTTAAAATTTACAATTAACATAATTACAGTGTTAAATCTACCTGCTCCGACCACATTTTAGGATGCGGAAGGTCGTCGGTAAATTTACAAAGCAAAGATAATCCAATGTTTTTAGTATCACACCTACAATTATGAAATTATCAGAATTAGATTAATTTATGTTTGGCCTAAAAATAACAACAATAATAATGAAAACATTAAAAAAAACTTAATAATAATAAAACCGGAATAATCAACATCAGTTAAAAGATAAGAATAAAAACATCAACTATAAGATAAACACAAAATAATAAGATAAGAAGAAACAACATAATAATAAGATAAGTATACAAAAACATCAAGAATAAAATAAGTACAAAATCATCAATAATAAGATAAGAGTAAAACAACATTAAAAAAAAGCTAAATAAAAATTAAACAACATTTATATTAAGATAAAAATAAGCAACATCCACAAATGACAAGAGAAATAGTAACAATTAACAGCTTCCACTATCAAATCATAACCAAAACAAAAATTTAACCTCCTGAGTGGTGTAGCAGAAACTGAACTAGAGTAAGTAGTACTATTTACATCCTGAGTGGTGTAGCTGATACTGAACTAGAGTAAGTAGTACTATTTACCTCCTGAGTGGTGTAGCAGAAACTGAACTAGAGTAAGTAGTACTATTTACCTCCTGAGTGGTGTAGCAGAAACTGAACTAGAGTAAGTAGTACTAGCACAATCTGGTAAACAGTAGTTACAAGATCGACTGCAAACCAAATATTTACATTTTTTTTAAAAAAGTGTAAAAATATTAAGAAAAAAAATAAAGTTCAAGGGAGGTTATAAATAAAAGGAGGGTATAGGCTTACGGCGAAAAATTATCGATGGTGAAGGTCCTCGCTTCGTATCTTACTTCTATCTGTTGCGTCTACAAGGAGAACATCGTTAAAAACGTCTCATACCGAAGAACGTAGCGTCCACACAAATTCAGACAGTTGCAACATTCGACTCGGATCGTAACAAAATCAATTTAATTCCAAACAAATCATTCAGATATAACAACCTACAATCATAGATTATTTTTCGACGCATTCGTATAAAGTTGATATTTCATATTATGTTTTACTCGTTTCTTATAAATTGTAGTATCTGAATGCATATTTGTTTGGAATTAAATTTTTTTTTACGATCCGAGTTGAATGTTGCAACTTTTTGATTTGTATGGACGACACATTCTTAAGTGTGAGTTGTTTTTAACAATTTTCTCCATATAGACGCAACAGATGGAAGTAAGATTAGTAGCGATCACCATCGATATTTTTTCGTCGTAAGCCTATACCCCCTTTCATTTTCGAGAACACTCGACCTTTAATTTTTTTAAATTTCATCTACAGAACAATGAACTATCCAAAGGAAATGATTACTTGCCTCAAACTCAAATATTTGTAAGCTGATGTAATCTTTAATATATAAACATTTGACTTTTTGATTTTACAGAATGTTCAAAGGCCTCTCTGAAAATAGGTAGCAAATATGTAAAAGCAAAATATTTCTCTATTATGAAAAACAACAAAATAGCTCAATTTATACGTTATTGTACAGTAGGAATTTTCGGCGAATTACAGGGTTCAATTTTGTCCCCTTTTTTCTTGCAAAGATATGTTAAAACTATAACAGTGAAAATGTTGAATTATTTACACAAATACGTAAAATTATTTTATTAAATTTTCTAGTCTGGGACCTGGGTTGTGTACACACTCTTTTATTATTTTCATTTATAAATCTTTCCAGTTGAATAATTAGTTCATTTACTTTGTTGAGTAATCATTTAAATATGTTTGTTTTTGACTAGGGTTTATACTAGCAGAATAAAAAAATCAAATATTTTGCTTTTTGCGCGCATATTTTTTGTTTCGCCGAAAATTTCGCCTTTTTACAAATTCCTTGCAGAGAAAATACGCGCGATTCAGTGCAAAAGATTGCGTAATAAACAACCAACCCCTACGTTTGACTTTTGCAAACTTTATGAAAGATTTATTCGTGATTAATTACTTTAAAATGTAGTCTAGAAAATTCTAATATTAATATATCATGAAACCGTATACATCAAATATTCATAAATAATAAGTTGAGTTATTAAGGTTAAAAGAAAGGTAGAAAGGGGAAAAGAAACAATTTCCTACGGATATAAGGCCAAAATTGTTTCCCACACTCCTATTTGCGTTTATCCTTTATGGATTAAATTAAATTGAACATTTTTTAAAACATTGAGACTTTTAGCAATGTATTACTTACACTAGTATTTAGGGTTTCCCACGAAACATGACATTCTTTGATTTTTTTAATATATTTTTTTCCATTTATTAGTTAACCTAATTTTAGCAGTAAAATACTAGAGATAATAATCACAAAATATTCCTAGTCCTGGACTTTAAAATACTGAACGTATAATTCTTAATATCTCCGGCACAAAAAAGGCAGACCACATTTGGAAATGCCAGGATAAGGAGAATTCTGTGGTTATTGTTTAAAGAATCATACATTTGAAAGAAGGTTAACGACTGAATGTCACTAATAAATTCCAAGATTAAAGACGACTTTCAAGTCGACTTGTTGCTTGCATGTTTCATGGGACACCCTGTACTTAATACCCTGGGGATACCCTGTACAAAATAGAGAAAATAAAAATATTTTTCAATTTTGACAATATTTAAGTTCCTAGCAGCTCCACCAAATATTCCTTTAATAAATGCATTTGTCTGCCAAGGGTCACACATCTTCGTGTCTAAAGTAAATAATTATATAAAATATGTTCACCTTTTGTTGGTTACCATGCAGCTACCTGCAAAGGATGCAACTTTAATAACGGATTTTTGTCATGGAACTTATTTTTAAAGCATTAAAGGGACTGTAAGAGTAATTTCAAGGGACCCTCCATGCAAAGACGCCAACTTAATCTTCCCGTTCTCCACCTACCTCTTGTTGGATAGAACCAAGGTGTACACCCTCCACTAGTTGGCAAGGATTTTCCAAACTCCAGTAAACACTCGAATACACAACCAGATTGGGAGTACAGTCTAAACAGGTCATACATTTAAAGTACAATTTAAACATATAACATGGAGTCATTGTTGTAGAGTACAGTATAAACATGTGATATGGAGTACATTGCTCTCTAGCACACTGTGAACAAGTTATACTGAGTACAGTTTTTTATAGTACAGTTTTGATATGGAGTACATTTATGTGCAGCACAGTTTAAAAAACTTATAAGGAGTACTTTATTTGTAGTACAGTTTATACAAGTGGTGTGGCGTACATTTATGTACAGAACAGTCTTAAAAGCTATGTGGAGTAAATTTATGTACCTTACAGTTTGAACATGTGATAAGGAGTACATTTATGTACAGAACAGTTTAAACAAGTGATATGGAGTGCATTCATGAACAGTAAAGTCTTAACAAGTGAAAGGGAATTGTACACGTTTATGTACAGTACATTGGTGCATTGTAGAATTTAAACATGTGTTATGGAGAACATTGCTATACAGTATACAGAACATTTTAATTTTTTATTATTTTTTATATATTATTTTAAACTTTAAATTTTATAATTTGGATACAGTTAATACAGAAAAATTATAATTTTATTGTTCTTCTTGTCATCCTTTCTTCCTTTATTTCTTTTTCTTTTGTTGACTGTCCCTGGGGTATGATAATTTTGAAAAATAAAAAAATATATTTGGCGGAAACCAGTATTTTTAGATTAAATGTATGTTTTAGTGTGTTCTAATTTTCCTGACTCAGTTAGTAGACTTTTTGCGGTAACCAGGAATATCTGATGTTGCACAATTGATCAGGCTGTTTTAAGGTTAGGAGGGTGGGAGCCAGGTGGAAAAAAGGTTTCGACAATTGTTACTTTGAGTTTCATGTCCAAATCCTGGTTACCCCTAGTGGTCTTAAAAATGGAGCCCACAACATTTGTTTACCAAGAAATCAATTCCAAATGCTGTTTGTGATCAATTGGAGGAGTTGGAAGTTTGGAGTAGGTTAGGCAGGGAGGGTATTGAGGGACTCCCAGTCCCATAGAAATAGAAGATCCCTACTTTTTCCATGATTTATACTCTTTCCCAGTTCTGCGGAATTTTTATAAGGTTACCCATTGAAGTTGCACCACATGTCCATAAATGGGGAATTGCTGCTACTGTATTTCAGAATACGGCCTCGTCTGCAGCAATCTTTTCCTCACAGCCGACAGAATATAAACTGGTATCATTGTGCATGCTACACCGTTTATCAGGATTCTACTATCTATTTTCCAATTTCCTTGTTTATAGCAAGAGGTAGGGGGGAAGAGAAGTATAGAGAAACCCCTCCCTCAGCACTGTTATTTTCTTTTTTTTCCAAGTAGGGTGTACTGCCATGTTTCATTCCACACAGGGTTCTGCTCAGCTGCGTGAAACTAGAAGTACTGTACAAGAACCTAACCATCCATAGGCTTAGTGGCAACTGACATTTTAATTTGTGATACGGAGCACATTGCTGATTTACAATACAGTTATAGATTGCTATAAATATTATTCTAAAACATTTGTTTTGTTAACATTTGTTCACTTACTTGTGCATAGACAGGGGATATTCATCTTGAAAATAACAGTTTCTTTTTGATGCAGGAATCCCTCTGAATTTTCATATTTCAAAAACTTGTAAAGTCTAATTGTTTTTTCGGCATCAATGAGGAATTTTACACTCGCCACACATTGTATAGTCCCTATATCTTTGGAACCAAATGATGTAAACCTTTGACTATCAGGTTTACGACATCAGGTTACAATGACATAAAGACTAGGAAAGAGACAAGTCATCAGTGCATTCACCCGCAAATTTTTGACGGCGCGTACACCTCATATGACGTCTTTGACACAGTTTCAGTATTAAAATCATGAACTCCACATTCATAGTACAGCTCTGTATGTGCTGAAAATGGTTGTGAACTCATGATAAGGTTATTTCGAAACTCTTTAATTATTTATTAGAAAGGAATAGAATATGGCTAAATCCCAGATTTTATATGAAAAATAAGAAATGCTTAAAACAATAATTTTCTCATGTAGTGAAATTTTATCCAGTCAAGGTTAGTCAAGGGATCATATATAATTTCTTTATATTAACAAGGAAATGTTGCTTTAAAGGGACTGTAAGCATAATTTCAAGAGACCATCCAAATATGACAATACCCGATTCGCAAAGGTACCCTTTATTTCATTAACAATGTCGAAGATATTGTTGATATTTTAGTTTTTATTTCTGATAATTTTTGTAATTCCTGCACGCGCAAGTCAGTTCTGAAGAGAAACCACGATTGAAAAAAATAAGTTTTCAATTTTATAAACATTAATATCCAATTTATTCTAGCTCAGACAAAACTTATAAGGGCATTGCCATCTTTGCAAGAGGGATTACTTGAAATTATACTAACGGTCCCTTTAAAAGCAAAATTAATCTATAAATAAATTTAGCTTGTTTGTCTGTTTGTTTGTATCCTTAATAAATGTAAAAATGGTTTATGAATGATCAAAATTTTAAAATTTGTGTTTTAAAGTTTCATATTTTTGTAAAATTTTGAAAATTTTTTAAAACTTTTTTTGTTTTTTTTTATACTGTTCAAAGAGAAGATTCTCACAGATAAAGCCACAACTAAAAGTTGAAATAGAAGATGGGCGCAAAGCGCCCTATAAGCCTAATATATGAAATTTCCTAATGCTATCATCTGCAATAGTATCCACAGCACCCATTGCTACCAGATTTTCATGCCCTGGTCTAATCACGAATCCCTGAAAGAAAGCAAAAAATGTTTAACATTAATAGTACTGAGCTGGAAACTATTTTATTGTGGAAATCGAGATCAATACTTTATCTCCTCTTTTTGTCTGGATCTGCAGATTAATTTTGTCTTTGCTTAATATCAAGGAGATTGTCTAATTTTTAACCAATCAAAGTGTTGTTTGCATAAACAGAACAGCCAATCAGAAGCCGGGAAATTTATGGACAACCAACAAGAGAACTATTATGTTGTCCCCAGCAGGGACAACAAAAATGGAGGATTAAGCAGAATATAAAAAGTTTCCACAGTGGATATCGTGATTAAGCGAGCGGGATTAAGGGTATTAAAAAAACAAAATAAGGTACTTGATGAATCAATTTCATGTTTTGTAATTTACTCACTTCACTTCTATAAACGATTTTCTGAAAAGAAAATTTGACAAAACCTGAAGCACACAGAAAAAAAAGAGTTTAAAATATCAAAGGTTTAAACCATCAGGTTCCAAAGATAAAGGGATTAAAAAAGTGAGTTTCTGGCAAAAACTCAGTTCCTTTGTATTTTGAATATGCATGGCAATGTTTCTAAAAGAGTCATTTTTTAGTAATATTTATTCAAGGACAACGTACTTTCATGGATAATATGATTTTGCTGATCTTATCAAGTTTCCTATTGGCTAATGACTTTCATTTTTTAGTAATATTTATTCAAGGACAACGTACTTTCATGGATAATATGATTTTGCTGATCTTATCAAGTTTCCTATTGGATAATATGATTTTGCTGATCTTATCAAGTTTCCTATTGGCTAATGACTTTCATTTTTTTAAACGATTCGTAGAAAAACGAAAATGCATTTGTTTCAAATTTAAATATTTAACTATTAAATGCATACAATTTCAGGTTCAGAATATTCCGAACAGTAAAGACAAATGAATCGCTACGAATTTCACTTGCACTTTTCTGTAAACCTTAATCCCTATACCTTACATCAAAAACCCAGAAAAATATGGATATTAAGATCAAGCGTTGTATAGTGCAAAAATGTAAACCTCAGACCACATTTATAGAAATACTTAAGCTATATCAATTAGTATCTCCATATAAAGGGCTGTTTTATTTATGGCCTATTGTCCCGTTTCGTCTTACTTCAAGGTTATAATGCAAGGAAAGTTATTTCAGATGTGTACGCATCTTTTGTACTGCAGTGTACTGTATCTGGGCGATAATGTTAACACAAGACGGATATCGCAGCCTGACATGGGATCCATCTTTTATATAAAAAATCAATTAACTATTTTGGTCAAAGGAAACTATTATGTGAATTATGTGAATTATCAAATTATCAAAATTATCAAAATTAAATGCTTTTATCCTCCACGGATACTAAACAAAACACTGATGCATCTATTCTTATTTACAACTTCCGCCCTGTGAGAACTGGTTTCAATATGTACGCAGAGTACACGCAACTGCAATTAACTTTCCTTGCATTATTATAACCTTGTCTTACTTAGTACGTCTGTATGTGTACTGTTCAACTGCTCGATAGATGCTTAAAAACCAGTCTGGTAATTGAATTTAACCATAGTTTACAGTTTACAGTTTCTTTATGTGGCATATCATTATGTAAATTGATAAGAAAACAAGAAGAGAAAAACGTGTCCACTATTTTTATATCAAGCATATTTTTAAAACCAAATCCAATGAAAAATGTACTTGATAATCCTACCTTTTCTGTTATTGAAGGAAATTTAGCTGGAGAGTTGACTACAGATAAAAAACCTGAAAAAAAACCATTTGAAATATCACAAAAAGAAATACGTTAAAATAAAGTAAGACTGAAAAACACAAAAGCACAAAATGTATTTCCAAATTATCACCAAAAAAAAATTATTTTTATAACTGTAAACTAATAAATGTTCCCAAAATCTAAATTTAAAAAAAAAGTTGTACCTTCGAAGTCGTCTCCAACCGTACCAGGGGAAAGAATGTTTGCGTGAGAATCCACAATAATCGTTAATCCGCGGTTCTTACCTTCATTATTTAATCAATATAGATTTATAGATTTCATAATTTTTCATCGATTGGTTGATTGATTGATAATTATTGAATAGAGAATTGATAGAATTGATTTATGTATAGAATTAATTTATTGTAAGGTATATATTTATAGATAGAATTGATTTATGGGTAGAATTTCTTTAAAAATAGAATAGTATGGTTTGAATTGATTCATGGATAGAATTAATTTATTGTATGGTATTTATTTATGGATAGGATTTATGGGTAGAATTGATTTTAAAATAGGATAGTATGGATAGAATTGATTAATGGATATTGATTAATAAGTATGGATAGAACTGATTTATGGATAGAATAGATTTATGGACAGAATTAATATATGGATAAAATTGATTTTAAAAAATTGATTCATGGAAAAAGATTGATTTATGAATAGAATTGATTTGTGGATAGAAAATATTTATGGATAGAAATGATTTACAAATAGAATTGATTTATAAATAGAATTTATCTATGTATAAATTGATCTATGTATAGATTGATTTACAAATAGAATAGATTTAAGGATAGAATTGATTTGTGATTAGAATTGTTTTATTGGTAGAATTGATTTATGAATAAAATTTATTTATGGACAAAATTAATTTATGGGTAGAATTGATTTATGGATACAATTAATTTATTGATAGAATTAACTTATGTTAAGAAATGATTTATGGACAGAATTGAATTATGGATTGAATTGATTTATTATTAGAATTGATTTATGAATGAAATTTATTTATGGACAAAATTGATTTATGGGCAAAATTGATTTATGGGTATAATTGATTTATGGATACAATTAATAGCTTCCTCGAAGGAGTTTAGAAGATTCATTTTCTGGGTTGCAGCAACTGATCTTGTGAACATTGTGTCCCTTTATATATTTAGATATTCACATATTTGCCATTTTTGCTATTTCTAAAATTATTAATTGACCAAAGCGTATCCAACTTTTGGCCGGAGCTTACGCTGATAGAATGGATTTGCGACTGCCGACGAATGTACGGATAGTGTAAAGAAACTTATAGGAGGATAAGGTGAACCTAGACTTATTGTACTAAGTGCATGGTTAGATGGAATTTATGATATTTTAGGTACGCTGGGTTCAGTTAATTTCTGTAACGTAGTTCAACAATCTCTAGCTCTCATTGGTTTAAACAACAAATATCAGATTTCTTGACATCCTATTAGTTCTTGTAAAGGGAATATTCGTGCAAAATTAAAGGGGTATAGGCTGACGTCGAATTGAATTCGATGGAGATCGCTACACATCTTATTTCTATTTTTGAACAAATTTTTAGTTTATAATGGTCATTCAAATATTAGGAATAGTATGTTAAAAAAAAATAAAGAAAAGATAATTAATAAAAAAGGTTAAACTTACTTATAAATATCCTCAGCGGCCCGGGCATTAAATGTACAACACATTCCTCTATCTGTAGGGTTAGTTTTAAATATTGCTGTACAGTTGACCTAAAATATTAAATGTACACTGTACAGCACATTTCTCTATCTGTAGGGTTAGATAACTGTAAACTAATAAATGTTCCCAAAATCTAAATTTAAAAAAAAAGTTGTACCTTCGAAGTCGTCTCCAACCGTACCAGGGGAAAGAATGTTAGCGTGAGAATCCACCATAATTGTTAATCCGCGATTCTTACCTTCATTATTCAATCAATATTGATTTAAAGATTTAATAATTTTTCATCGATTCGTTGATTCATTCATTCATATTTTTATTCAACTACAAAGCATGAGATATTACAAATAAGCAATCACAATTTACTATGCAGTTTGGACCTGCTTAACCAGGGTTGGTTGTTTTGAGTGGTTGGTCCAACTTGCTTAGTATTGATTGATTGATTGTTATTGAATATAGAATTAATAGAATTGATTTATGGATAGAATTAATTTATTGTATGGTATTTATTTATGGATATAATTGATTTATAAATAGTATAGATAAATGGATAGAATTTATTTATGGATATAATTGATTAATGGATAGAATTGATTAATAAAAAGAAATTGATTCATGGAAAAAGAATTGATTTATGGATAGAATTGAATTGTGGATAGAATTGATTTATGAATAAAATTGATTTAAGTATAGAATTGATTTATAAATAGAATTTATCTATGTATAAATTGATCTATGTATAGATTGATTTACAAATAGAATAGATTTAAGGATAGAATTGATTTATGAATAGAATTGATTTATGAATAGAATTGATTTATGATAAGAAGTGATTTATTGGTACAATTGATTTATGAGTGAAATTTATTTATGGACAAAATTGATTTATGGGTAGAATTGATACAATTAATTTTGACTTTTTTGAGTCTCCTTAAGTCAAAATAAATGTTCGCCTGCACCGCGTCTTTTGGTTCCTAAATCTGGATATTTTTGTTCCGAAATAAATCTAGCACCCGCCTCACTTAAATCCTGTATCCGCCCCTGTACCCTTCACTCTGATTTGAAAGTTTGGTCCTTGTCCAATAATGCTATGACACTCGATTAAAGTTTGACCTATTAAACAAACATTTTTCTGATATTAAGGACTAAGAACCGATGTTGCATCTTACCTATTTCAGGAGTTGGTTCTTCCCCTGATTCAAAGCCAGGAGGCAGGTTTGCTTCCTCGAAGGAGTTTAGAAGATTCATTTTCTGGGTTGCAGCAACTGATCTTGTGAACATTGTGTCCCTTTATATATTTAGATATTTTCACAAACTGCAAAATCTCTAATTTTTAGTTGTTTGGAAGACTTTGTTCTCAATGCGTATCAATGTGATAGAAAAAAAGTATTCATTGAGCCCTGTGGACACAATTTTAGCTATTTCTAAAAGTTTTAATTGACCACAGCGTTTCCAACTTTTAGCCTGGGTTTACGCTCATTGGATGGATTTGTGACTGTCGACGAATGAACGGACAGTGTAAAGAAACTAATAGGAGGATAAGGTTAACCTCGCCTTATTGTACTAAGTGCATGGTAAGATGGAATTTATGATATTTTAGTTACGCTGGATTCAGTTATTTTTCTGTAACATAGTTCAGTAATTTCCAGCTCTCATTGGTTTAAACAACGAATATCAGTAAAGGGAGTGTTCGGGAAAAATAAAAGGGTGTATAGGCTAACATCAAATTGAATTTGATGGTGATCACTACAAATTTTTAGTTTATAATGCTCTTTCAAATATCGGAATGTTAAGAAAAGAAAAAGAAATTTAAAATTAAAAAAATAAGGTTAAACTTACTTATAAATATCCTCAGCGGCCCGGGCATTAAATGTACAGCACATTCCTCTATCTGTAGGGTTAGTTTTAAATATTGCTGTACAGTTGACCTAAAATATTAAATGTACACTGTGCAGCATATTCCTCTATCTGTAGGGTTAGTTTTAAATATTGCTGTACAGTTGACCTAAAATATTAAATGTACACTGTACAGTACATTCCTCTATCTGTAGGGTTAGGTTTAAATATTGCTGTACAGTTGACCTGAAATATTAAGTTATTAGGTCAATTTATAATTTCAGGTAAAAAAAATATTTATATCTTCTTTAAAAAGAATGGGACTTTCATTACGACAATAAATCCACTATAAATACAACGGTTTAAAGATTGAATTTAGTAATTCATGCATTTCTGTTAAAATTGATTTCGTACATACATGTTTTTAAAATAAAGAAACTAAAAAATGTTTTATATATTACCGGAACCCCTTTCCACCAACAGCGTTTAATAGTAGATTTTTCATCCCTGTAGTCCGAGGTCCACTTCCTGAAATTTTGAGAAATGTAATTATGTAAATATATAAAATGTTCCGAATTTTCTAATTTGTAATCTCTATAATGTACAGAGATGATATTTTAAAAGCTTAAACCCGAGTAAAACCCAAACTCGGGCTTAGATAGAACCCAAGTCAGGATTGGTTCTGATTCGACCAATGAGAGACTGTTTTGCAAGCTTTCTCTCTGTAGCAAACAGAATGCCGTCAGATCAGTAGACACATTATTTATCAAAAAGGTATGCGGACGGATTTGCAACAAGACATAAATTAAAAGTCATGCATTTATGAAATAACTTTGTTAAAATTTGACCAAAACCTAACACAAAATGTTGGGTCTGGGTCAAATCACGATTTTGAACTTTCTTCCCCTAAAATGAAGTTTTCAAACAATATAAGTTGGTACCATATCTACTTTAGAATATAAGTTGGTACCATATCTACTTTAGAATCAAATTACGAATCGATCAAATTATGATTTATAATTTTTAACCTTTCTTATCAAGGAAAAACTTCTTTTAGAAGTAGAACAGTAAAAATGGAAAAAAATTGCAACTGTAAAATTGATCAAATCACAATTCTTGATTCTTTTTAATAAATGTTCTAAATAAACTTTCTTTTGCAGAGTTATAAAAATAGAAATTCTATTTGGATTAATAAAAAAAATGATGTAAAAAGTTATTTTTATTTTTATTTTAATGGTTGCCTGATATCGAAGCAAGGGTTAATGCTGTGCCACAGCATTTGAAAAATACTTGGGAAGCTGTGAGTTAAATTCATGCTTTTAAACACAGCCCTAAACATAATAAAACATAATTAAAGAGACTGCTAACAAAATTCAAAGTAACTTTTAAAGGGACTGTAAGCGTAATTTTAAGTGACCCTCTGTGCAATGATATGTCCGATTTACATTGATACCCTCGATACCGTTATCTGATCAATAATAAGAAATATATATTTTCTCTTTCAAACTCGAAAAGTGCTTAATCCTAATCATTTCTCCAGTCTTTCTTACAAGCAAGAAATACGCTGGTCACTCATTCAAAATAAACAGTTTTAGAAAACAAATACATGGAGTTCAAATTATTAATTGATCAAAAAAAGCTTTTAAAGGTACCTTAGTAACTCGGGCATTGACATCTTTGCATTGAGGTTTACTTGAAATTACATGTATAATACCTGTAGAGAAGCTTTATTTTTATAGCAAAATCTTGAAAATGAAATTTTCTATGTAAAGAAAATAGTTGATTTTTCATAATATGTTTTAATTGTTATGATCTGAGAGTTACTTATAAAAACGTTTATTCCTGTTTCGAGGATTTTTGGTAATGAAGACGACATTTTCATATCTTCCAGGAATGTTCGAAAACAAGTTGTAAGCTAAATATTATTTAAAAAAACAAAATCAAAACTAGTATGAAATATTTAATATATACAAATGTGGCGAAAGATAATCGATGACTATAGGTTGTAATATCTGAATGATTTGTTTGATATTAATTTGATTTTTTACCCCTTTCATTTTTCGCGAACACTCCCTTTAATTTAATCCTTATTATTCACCAAATACTTTGTATTTGTATTTTAGTTTAATTTAAGGTATTTTCAATATCTTTATTTACTTTGCTTTAAAGATGTCTTTAAATACTATATTTATGGGGACCACTGCATGTTTGTTACTAAATCAAAAGTAGTCCATTTGTATTTAGTATATAATGTGAAATATGAAAAATAATTTACTTGAATTTTTGTGAGAGCCGTTTTTCTATTTCTTCCTGAGCTGGTCGTTTCTCCGGGTTAAGAAATACATCGAACTTTGGAGCTTTCACCTCCCGTCGTACACGTGATTCTGGGATTTCTGATTCCTAAATATTTGGAATTTGAAATTAGGATTTTTACAAACTAACCTAGTCTAAAAGTTGGAAATATTTGGAAATTGGAATTGTACTATAAGATTTTTCTTACTAGCCTAGTCAAACCGTGGCAAATACTTGGAATTTGGAATTGTACTTAAGATTTCTACTAACTAGCCTAGCCTGTTTGTTTTTAATCTTCCTGGCAGAAACAATCTCAAGAGCTGACGAGAGTCAACCCAGACCGAAATATATTTTCAATAAATGTGGAACTAACATCTACTTTTTTACTCTATATAGGTTTGGTCCATCACCATCACCGAATTTTGAAATAAATAGCCTAATATGGCTGGCAAATATTAAGAATTTGGAATTATCATTTAGAATTTTTACTAACTAGCGTAGCCTAGTCTAATAGTTTGCAAGTATTTGAAATATAAAATTTTAAAATATTAGCTAGTATAGAGTAGCTCTCAATGGCGGCTTAAACAGAAGAGTTATGGGGAAAAAATATAGCAAATTTTAATTTTACTTTAGTTTGACGTGAACAACAATGCATATTTAAAAAACTAATTTTCTTTAAAACAACAAAACAAAAAATACAATTTGAAAACAATAATATATTGCTGTAAACATAGATTAAACTTTTAAATTGTCCTGTCAATCATTTGTTAATCACACATAGTACCTCGGCGTAGGTCACTTGTCAAAGTATAAAAAAATATAAAATAAAGGTTTTTTTTGTAGTTTCTAGTTAAAAATTTGTGAAAAAGTTGAAGTAACCATGACAGTTGTCGTCTTTAAGATTTTACTATTTTTATCAAAAAAAAGGTGCATGGCATTATTTTGTGCTTTCCGACATGTGATGTTTCTTTGCCTTCTATGTATATTATGTATATTATGTATATTATGTATATTATGTATATTATGTATATTATGTATTGTATATAACAATGAGATGACTAAGAGTTTATAATGAACAGAAATCTGCACAAAATTATAAATATCTCCTCCGGTAGTTGAAAGCACAAAAATGAAGATTACGTTTTGAAAATGCAACGATCAAAGACGTTCCTTAAGTCATTTTCAACTGTCCCGTTTATCGGGACACCCTGTACATATCTTCCTCAACTGTCCCGTTTATTGGGACACCCTGTACATATCTTCCTCAACTGTCCCGTTTATTGGGACACCCTGTAAGCATCTTCCTCAAATGTCACGTTTATTGGGACACCCTGCACTTATCTTCCTCAACTGTCCAGTTCATTGGGACACACTGCACGTATCTTCCTCAACTCTCCCCTTAATTAGGACACACTGTACGTATCTTCCTCAACTGCCCAGTTTATTGGGACACACTGAACGTATATTTCTTAACTCTCCCCTTTATTGGGACACACTGCACATATCTTCCTCTACTCTCCCGTTTATTGGGACACACTGCACTTATTTTCCTCAACTGTCCCGTTTATTGGGACACACTGTACGTATCTTCCTCAACTGTACCGTTTATTGGGACACCCTGCACGTATCTTCCTCAACTGCCCGTTTACTGGGACACCCTGTACGTATCTTCCGATCTGATGAAATCTCACCTCTTGGATGAAATATGAATCAGTGTCACTTTCATTCTTAGCCAAATCTAATATTTCAGCTTTTCTCCTACGTCTAGAAACATTATTAAATTATTCATATTTTAATTTTAATGTGTACTAAATATGTTGGATTGAGTAATTCCCTTTCCTGCGTTAGCTGGAAACCATAATTTAATCAGCTAAATTACGCAGGGTTTAATTTCAATTCTTTATGTTCCATGTTTAAATTAATTCAAAATTTATATTATTTCAAGAAGAATTAAAAATAATTAAAGACCTTTAAACAAATTAATTTTTTAAAAATCTTTAAATCAATGTTAAAATTGTGAAAAATATTTTTAAAAATGGCGGCGCCTGCCATGTTTACCTGACAGCTGTTGCATCAGCTGTACAAATCACCTTCGCGGCACCATCACATGGCATAGGAACTATTCTTAACATCGGCCAACTAAAACAAAATAACTTTGTTAACACAAATTCGAAATATAAGGAAGACGATTTTACTGATTCTGATACCGTTGCTTGTTTCAAGACGTATGAATCCTTTTCCGCCCACATGTAACCCTCGCTCTTTCGTCCNTAACTGTTTAATCAAGAAAAATTAGAAAACAAGAGTTCCTTTGTGAATTAACTGTTTAATCAAGAAAAATTAGAAAACAAGAGTTCCTTTGTGAATTAACTGTTTAATCAAGAAAAATTAGAAAACAAGAGTTCCTTTGTGAATTAACTGTTTAATCAAGAAAAATTAGAAAACAAGAGTTCCTTTGTGAATTAACTGTTCAATCTATCGAAATTGAATGAAAACAGTTTATAAGCACACTATATAGAACTGGCTGAATGAGAATTGGTCAACACCAAAGAGCTTGGTAATATACTATTGGACTTTGATCAACACTAATTATTCCTTTTATCTGGATATATATATTATACTTTTTCCTCGTTTCTAGTTGATTACAGTGAGTACCCATAAATGTATAAATATATCACAGGCACAAATAAAAATACATTTACTAAGTATGTGTCATAAATTCTAATATTCAATTTTAGCTCATCCATAGACAAAAATATCGTACTGCTCAAAGCTGTAATCTTTTTCAGAAGTCGTCTTTATATATACTTTGCTTGGTTGGGTGTCTGCTTGTTTATATTCAATGAACGAAAAAAAGGCTGGAACGATCCAACCCAAATTCTTAGTGGGACCTTAAATGACCCCAGGGAAGGTTTATGGATGGTAAGAAATTAACAATTTTGCCTGAAATAAAATTTGATTTATCAAAATTAACGAAAATTGATAAATCCTCGAATTTTTGTTGTTGTTTGATAATTTAAGAAGAGAAAATACCACAGATAGAGAAACAATCAGAAGTTAAAATCAAAGGTGGGACAATGCGCTTGACAAAGCTTAAATTTCTAATATATAAATATATTTAATGGCCGACATTAAAAAACAGCTGCACACATCAACTGCATTAAGGATTGCCATCAATTAAAAAAAATTATTAAATTACAAAAGATGGCTGTCATAATTCACCACAACTGATTATCATCAACCTATTATAAAAGATGGCCTTCATTCAACAGCTAAAAGGTATCAACCTTATACAATAAAGATCAACATGATTTTACAGCTGAAAAACTTTACAGTTAGTGTTAACAGCCCAATTAACTTGAGGTTTACCATAATGTATTTCTAACAATGGGACAGAGGCACGATTTAATGACATATATCATTTATCAAATTGCAAATAAATGCATTTTTCTTTAAATGACAATGCACGAAATTCTTTCTAAAATGAATTTATTTCTGCAGAAATGATTTGATTATTTTCTACCCTAAAAATGTTCTGTTAAAATCAATATCTTAGGCCCTTAGATTTATTATCAAGTTCTTCTACAGTGGTAGGCGATTATATCAATACAATGAAGACGAATTTTAATTTCAATTTTGATTTATATCAAGATGTTAAATAACATGGTTACATCTAAACATAGAAGAGTCAAGCTGAGAAGCTATCCATTAAAAAGGCTTCTCTTTGCATGTAATCTTGTAATTTGAAAAAGTTTGTTAACAATCAAAACTTTAATAAAAACTTCGTGTTCATTGTGTTGATACCACTGTATAATAGCACTTCTAAAAAGTATTTTTTTACCTCGCTTCTAGTTTCAAATTCTAGCAAAATAGATTTAGGTTCTTCTTCTTTACATGCTTTCTTCCCTTCTTCCAGACTATATAATCCAGGTAGAACCTAGTAATAGGAATATATTTAGGTTCTTCTTCTTTCCTCCAGGCAATATAACCCAGGCAGGACATGTTCACAGAAATATTTTTAGTGTTTATTAAAGGGACTGTAAGCGGAATTTCAAATGACCCGCCATGCAAAGATGTCAATGCCCGATTCACAATTGTAGCATTATTTGCTTATAAAACTATGAAAACTCTTGTATCCTTAAAACCTCAAGTAAAAATTATACTGTGTTTTAATTTTAAAAACTGAATATTTTCATTTGTGATTTCTCATAAAAAGTGACAGGAAACATAAATGAATTATCAGAATTAAACCATTTAAAGCCTGGAACAATTTACCCTTTCCCTAATTAAAAAACTGTACTTGCCCGATTTACAATTGTACCCTCGACAATTTAATGTCGCATCGACAACATAATGAAGAAGATATTGCTTATTTTCTGTCTTAAAAAAATATACATTAGTTTTTTACAATTTTCCTCCTTTTCTCTGCTGGATAAATCAGCTAGCAAAGTTTAAACCACAATTGAAAGTTATGATTTTCAGATAAATAAAAACATCTTTTAAAAACGGGGCTCGCTTTAAATTTCGTCGAGAATTAATGGGAGCTGATTAAGAATTTACACGATGTCACACTGTACATATTACGGAAGGAGGGGGGGGGAGGAGGAAGAGACTTGAAATTATTGAAAATTGTTTTTACAACCTTGTAGCAGTATGTAGAGTAGTAGTATGCACTGGTTGTTGTAGATACCCAGCCTGGTGGGCATCCACCCCGTAGAGTTGACAAGGTCGACAGTGCTGAAAATATTGGATACAAGTGGAAAAATGTCAAAATAAAAAATTTATTGAAAATTGAAGTTTTTTTCGCTTATAAACATTTTAACACTCGAGTAAAAACAAGACTACATAAAAAAGAATAGGCATTTAATTTTTAGTAGTAAAAATCTAATTAGGTTTCGTACTAAGAAAGTTCTTTATATACAAACTTTTAAAAACCGTAAACACTTTAGAAGAAAAGAAGAAAAAAACTTAAAATAGCGTTCAATGCAACTCACCGTGAAATCTTTCATTATATCGACGAATAGCTTTTTTGGTTCGATTATTCTTAATGACGATTATAGGACGACTTGTTATACCGAGCACTACACTTGGAGCTCTCGCGTCGTCAGCTAAAAATCACAAAGAGTCAGTATTAAGTTAACAAAAATTTTGCAAAAAATCTTAAACATTTTTAGATATAATAAGTGTCAAAAAGTATCTAAATGGCTCTCTGTAATTTTTAACATGCTAAAACTGTGTCAAATCGTGAAGAGGGAAAAAATTCCAGATTTTCATTTATGTGTTGTACACTGTACACTGTACACTGTACACCGTACACTGTACACTGTACACTGTACACTGCAATACACTGCACAGCCTTTTTAATCAAATCAAGAGTAAATTGCTAGCTCCAGAATATAAGTTAATCAAGTTTAAATTGAGGATAATTATTTTTAATTTCAAATTTTGTTTTAGTTCAAATATTTTAAATTATTTAGAAAATGTGTAATTTGTATTCAACCAATTTAAACGGTTTTGGAAAACTTGGAAAGTTCTTTGGAATATAAAAATAATTGAAAATGTTTAAGCACAACTACTGTAAAACAAATGAAAGAAATCTGGAATGTAAGATTTGATGATTTGTCAGTGCAATAAATTTCTGCTTAGCGTGGATTCATAGTGTACACAGATAGAACAAGAGAAAAGCGTTGGTTTAATTTAGCCATTGTCATCTATATCGTTCTAATTAGCCATTAGTTTTTTACTCAGTTTGATGCCTGGTGCATAAGAATATATTCAAGATACATTTCACGCAAAATTCTTAGTATATCACATTTATATGCTCGCATGACACCAGGTATATAACTGCACAATATGCAAAGAAAATTGCGCACAATGCCCGGTATTTTACTTTACGCCATATTTATAAAAAAAAACTTTTTTAAGACTAAAGGCGTATTCTTTCTTTAGAGAATTAAGAAAAAAATCTGCCTCCTCGATGCTTCACAGAGCCTGTGTGTGGTATGCTGAAAAGGTTTACGGGACGGCCATTTTGAATAATTTCCATCCAGAAAAAACGTCCCGTAATCTATTTTTAAAGCTAACACCCAGCTTTGTTTGTTTTTTAAGAGGCAGATTTATTTTTAAAATCACGTAAAAATGTTCCGCCGTTTATTATGGGTCAGAATTTTCAGTTAAGAAAGGTTCTATAAGGCCTTTGCGGGTCAAAATTCATCCGGGGAAAACTTGGAAACCCAGGTAAAATCTCTTGTTTATCTGTGTGATCTAGACCCGGAGAATATATATCTAAAAATGTGAAATATCCAGACAATCAATTTGGTTTGATTAATTTAATAAATTGATCTATATCAAAACTGTTCAATTGTTTGGAAATACCACAAGTAAAGATGTTCAAACTTAAGATAGATTTTAAATTATAAGCAAGTTTAAATTTATCAGAGAGCCAAATAAAGTACATGCTTTTTTCAATTTTCAGCAAAGATGCTCTACATCTTTGTTTTATGGTATGAAAAAATCATTTAAAACAAGTTTATTTAAAAGGAATAAGAAACAAAACTAAAAACTAGCAACAAGTAATTTAAGTTGTTCTTTGTTTCATGTTATTTATATTTGATGTTATTTATATTTGATGTTATTTATATTTCATGTTATTTATATTTGATGTTATTTATATTAAGATCTTCTAAAGACTAAAACAGAGAGATTGTAGAAACTGTTTACAAAAATAATAAGGAAATTCAAAGCGCAAGCTAATTAATGACACAAAACTAACCGACAGAAAACCGGTTTTACTACCACGTGGAAGTTTATTCCTACCTGCCACAGACACAGCTTTAGCCCCCAGAGCAGCTGCAGGGTTTGGAGCTGTCATTAAACTCGCCACATCCGCCAGGGGAACTGTTAATCCTGAAAATATATTTCATGAATTTGCTGAAGCGGTGTTGAAGAGGACAAAAACTGAATACTCACTTTAAACTTAATCTTCTGATTCCCAGTTCCTGACTTAAACCGGATTTTAAATCAATCTTTGATATTTCAAACTTTGGCTGTTTTTTGTAGGTTGAAGTTTTTTAAAGGTATACCTCATCACGGGATCAAACTTTTGAATGTGACAGCGCTTGGCTTCAGGCACAAAACTTGTTATCACTGAATCGCATGAGCGCAGGATTCAAATGTTTTGCTCTCAAGTATTAAAATAAACTTTTTGCAATTACCTGGGAAACTTTCTTTTTGATGTCTTTCCCTCCATTCTTTCTGCTCTGCGGGGGTTATTTCTAGAATATCAAGTTAAAGCACAATTCTTTTAAGTTATAAAAGACTGATATATTGTCTAGAGTAGGGATGTGCATTGATTACATGCAATACTGTTTTGTGATCTGTTTCTCAACGTTTTGCATCCTGGTTATTAACATAATTTAAACAGGTATATACAGTATGGTTTTATAGTGCTTACATCATCACATGAATGTATTTCCACAAACCAAAACCAAATGCTCTCGTATTTCTGATTTGAAAAGGCGCAGCTTTCTTGGTGGTTGATTTATTTCTACATAAGGAAGTTCAGCCCATGTTTACATGTAGTATAACACGATATACTGCATGAAATATTGGACCTGATCTTCATACATCATCCACCAAGGAAGTTAAAATGCCATTTTAATTCATAAATACTTAGGAGGAAGTTTGGTTTTTCTTACAGGAAATACAGCATGATTAGATAAAGAAGGGATAACACTTTTTGGAATTTTGAACAAACTGTAATAAAAAAGTATAGACTAGGAAGACGAATTATGGTATTTTATGCTGCTTTTACTAGCAGCTTGGAAATCAACATATTATTAAGTGAAATGGGTCTGTGTGCACTTCACAATTGTTGTGTTTTATGTTCATTGGACTAACAAAATCATAACTTAAGTCAAACAGTTGTATTCATTTGTAGGTCGCGAGGATGAAATAAAAAACATATATTTATTCCATTCAACATTAGCTGTAAGTTCTTAAAAATGATAACTTGTAGTTGAGCATGCAACGGGACTTTCTTCTTATAAATCTACAGTGGGAACCATGTATTGAAGCAGTACTCAAGTTTATTTAAGATGTCGCGAATAGTTCTACTAGTAAGTTATTAAATTACTTATAGAGTGAAATGGGCTTGTTTACACTGCGCAATTTCTGTCTCTCATTTACAAATAGGACTTTTTAGTCATAACTTGGTTGAGCTTAAAATTCGTCTTTCCGAGATTACTGGTTCGTAATGAAGAAGATGACTTTCCCTATAGTCTCTAGACATTGACGATCAATTATAATAGTAAAAATACAATTTAAAATGTTTTTCAAAAAGTAGAATCCCAACTGTATTCAGCACAATAACAACAAACGAGCAAAATATATTGGACAGGACAAACAAAACATGCATCAACATTTAGGACAAAACATCCTATCAAAATAACGGACAAAATAGTCTAATTTCGGATACCTTATGCATTTCAGAAAATCTTTAAAAACCGATTAAAAATGAATTAAAAAGATATCAATGGTCAACCCTAATCCAGAATACTCTCATGCTGATATTCGTACTTTCTACGCTACCATTAATATTTACTCCTGCATCAACTAAATATTGTTGAAATTGTTCCTCGAGAACTTTCTCCAAGGTGTCAGTAGCCATTCCCTAAAATATCAACGATCATTCTAAAGGGACTGTATAGTTGTATAGTAGACGTGATTCGAAGTGAACCTTCATTATACTATTACTAGTATTTTAGGACGCTTCGCGTCTTTCTTCTTTTTCAACTTTTAATTGTGGCTTTATCTGTGAGCAGTACAGTGTAAATTTTTTTTAATTGACGGATTTCATAATATTTTTTGGGCATTTTTAAAATTTTACAAAATTTAAATATAAAAATATTTTAAGATTACATATTTAAAGTCTGATTGGCCATAAACCTTCCCAGGGGCCCCGTGAGGTCCCACACACAATTTGGGCCTGATCGGTTCAGATGTTTTTGACGTTTATTAGATACAAACAAACAGACAGAATGACAAGCCAAATTTATGTATAGATTATACCATATGGAGTACGTTGCATAACATTCCTGGTAAACGAAGAAAAAGTTCAGCTCTAAGGCAGGATGAGCATTTTACAGTACATTGTGAGGGTACTGTCAAATGACCCTGTTGCCTTAGAATTGAACTTTTCCTTCCTTCGATAGGAAGTTATGTAAAGTAGTTCATGAAGTATATCGTGTACTGCATGGAAAGCTCATCCTGCGAGGGAGTTAAACCGCCTTTTCAGACAAAAGATCCTTAGAAAAAAGTTTACTTTTGACGGGAGGAAATACAGTGTATTTGTACTGTACAACTTGCTCTAGATGCTTAAAAGTCAGCCCGGTAGTGGAAATGAATTGGAGATTACAGTGATTTAGCATGTCAACAAATGACCCCGAAAATATTTTTCAAAATTGAATGAGATACTTTTTTAGCTAAATAATGATTATTATCAATTGTGGAGTTTTTAGTTATGCTGATTTGTGCTGTTGAGACTTAAAAGGAAACAGTCATAATTCAAACGTAGAGACAGAGGTTTATTATGAGTAACGTTGTGAATAGAACCTGCCATTTATTTTAAATAGAGGGTTACTTGAAATTAGATTTACTGTCCCTTTAAGAGACACGCTTTATGTACTTTAAGGCAACCAGTACAATTTTTTGTGGATTTTTGACTTAATATATGTGTTCTGCACACTTGATTTTAAATTCATTGAAATGTTTTATGCTTCAAGAAAAAATGTTATGTCTCACACAAATTAAGTAATTTTCATAAATAATGCTGGGGGAACGGGATGGTTAAATATTGCCTGCAGATCTGTCTGTCTGAGTCCAATTTACGTCAAAACGTTTGGACCGTCAGGTCCCCATTTTTCTTGCATTTCACTCGAAGTTTAAAAATACCGTCCGGAAAGAAATCGTGACCGGTTTTAAAATGCGCCAATTTTTAAAAGAAAAATCCGCAAAATTTTAGTTTTTTCTGTTGAAACGACTAAAATTAACGATTTGAAAAGCAACAGTTAAAAGCTAAACGAAAGAAAAACGGCGCAAAGCGCTTAAAGCCAGTATTTCATATTCTATTCGGTATTCACAGAGATAAGAGAGGTACAGAGATCAACTGAAAGCTAGAATATGCGATTTAATCCACAGCAGGTTCTAATTGTGTATAAGTACTGTACACGACCTAGCAGAAGACATCTGTATTCAGGGATATTTAAGGATATACAAAAGTCTGTGTTAGTCTGTGAGTAATCACAATAACTTATTGATACATGCATTATTAATCCTAGGGCTATACTCCATTTTGTTTATGACTGTTATTAGTTTAATAATCATTTTGAATGATTTGTATATAATTTCTTATTTATGTTTTCATCGGTATCAAGTAATGGGAATTTGATGTGTGTTGGTAAATTGATATAAATACTGATAAACGTTTTTAACATGATTTATTGGGTTAATAACTCATATTTAATACAATTAGGCCTATATTCTATAAATCTAAATAAATTTAATACAAAATATAAAAATAAGTAAGGAATTCAGGAATTAAATTTAGTCTTTGCCACAAACTATGAATTCTGTAAGATCAAATAGTATAATTGTTTAAAATATCACAGATTCAACCCATCAGGTTCCAAAGTAAAAGGAATTAAAAAAATATGCTAATAACCAATTTTTCTAATGTTTAAATAGAAATAAACATACAATGAAACCATGATCGACAGCAGTAAAATGATGAAAAATACCGAATATTAACTTTAAGAAGCAAAATTATGAAAACAGGGACAAGGATAAACGTGGGACAAGGATAAAAGTGGGACAAGGATAAACGTGGGACAACGATAAACGTGAGACAAGAATAAACGTGGGACAAGGATAAACGTGGTACAAGGATAAACGTGGGACAAGGATAAACGTGGGACAAGGATAAACGTGGGACAAGGATAAATGTGGGACAAGGATAAATGTGGGACAAGTTGAAATCCACGGGAAAAAAAAAGCACACACAAAATTCGCAATAATGAATACAACCGGTTTTTACCTGGCCACACACTGTGATGGCCGGATAGCTGAGAGTGTTGATGGGAAGCGCTGTTGTAGACACAGTCGTGATAATCGGATCATTCTTAATAGAAAATATATCTCAAGGTCGGATTTTATGAACAGTGAAAAGTGGTTGAACTAGGTATGGAGGATAGTTGAACTACATCTCTACTTACCATGCCTTATTCGTTTACGTTGCAATTTCAACATTCATTAATTCCTTCAGCTTTGTTTTTTCAAATATTTCTTCTTATGTTTAAATACTTGTAAAAGATAATATACTTTAGCTCATTCTGAGCAACATTATAAACCATGTTTATCCCTATTCTTTAGCTTTTTCTCCCAAAGAACAGTGTAGGTACATATTTGTGTTAGCCCAAGGGAGAGAAAGTGATGAATTACAAATTTTCATGAAAAAAAACATTTACAAGATGAAGATAGCTTTTTACATGAACAAAGTTTTAACAAAAATAAAAAAAAACTTTTTAGCATTTAGACTTATAAATATTAACAACAACACAATTGAATATACTTCTTTCTTTGGAAATCAAAACAATAAAGTACTTCTTTAGAAGAATCTTTGAAAAAAAAGATTTTGTTAAAATGAAATTTCTACCTGCCAGGAGTTGTATGCATTGTTAGAAAGGTAAGCAGCAAAAAGGATCTAAAATTATATTATAAAATTATGGTTTATACCAAAGAGAATAGATCAGTAAAGAGTGGAATTAGTTAGAAAAGAGTGTAAAACCCATAGAGAATAGAATATATGCTAGAGAGGAATTTAAAGAATCTCTCGGTATGAATTTTTTCAGTCCCTTTCAGCCTGAAAGGGAGTTCAAAGTGTACAAATCATGTAAATGTTCACAAATTATATGCAGTAGAGTACATTAATACAGTATGTTCCCTAGACTATCCATTTCAATTTCGAATTTTTTAAAGCTGTTAAATAAACTTTATAATGAATTAGGTGAATAAAAAACATCATTTGATTTATAGTTATAACGGAAAATCATCGTTTGTAAAGTGAAAGGCATATAGTCTATGTGAAATGATCATTGGTCAATTACGAAACCAGACTATTTCATGATTTGGTTTTCTTTTAACATTAATTTTAGATTTTCTATAAAATGATATTACAGGGCCCAAAAGGTTATATAGCATAAATATGTGCAGTATTGAAACAGTACAACAAAATGGCCGTTTTACACTTTTTTCTAGTAAATTCCCCTCTAATATATATTATATTCTCTTTTGTTCTGTATATATATTTGAATCCGAAGTAGGATTTGAACATTATTGAAACCCTAAATTGATTTTTAACTTTAAAAGGAAAAAATTTTGAACTTTAGTTTGTTGTTGTAGATTGTAGTTCCCATTAAAAGAGGGAATACAAAGACCACAATTGGATTAAATATGTCGTCTTTATAATAATAAAAATTATGTGGTTCCCTTAGGAAACGTAATACAAAGACGACTTTTTGATTACATGTCGGTTTCCGAAAACAAAACTACATGGTTCCTCCATGAAAATTATTGATAAACTGGATAAGTGTAACATTTTTGCAAACATTAACCACTGCAGTGTACACTGTCCATTTGTACATTTAAGTAAACAGTACAATTTTACACATTCATTTTGCTCAGGGATATTTCAATTGATTTTTTGTGTTAAAATCTTAGGTATTTTTCAAATATGCAAATTTCGTCAAACCCAGACCTAACATAAAATATGCCAGATCCAGAAAGTTACCAAAACTGTAAATCAAGGTGAAACGAAATATTGTATCTATACCATAATAAATAGTAAATAATTGATTTAGCTAATTGCATATAATCATACATCAATGTGCATAGAAACCCCTCTCATCAGAATATATATATTTACATGAAGGGTGAAGGTATATATCTAAAACCATTTCTGTGAATAATTGATCAGAAATTGTTAATTTGATATCATTATAAAGGGTTGAAGGCACTTATGACTGAGGAGGCTTCTGAATTGGTCAATAGGGGTATTCTTAACCTGAACCTGAACCTACACCTCAACCTTAACATGAACCTGAACTTGATCCTAAACCTGAACCTTACTCTCAACGTGAAACCTAAACCTGATCCTGAACCTGATCCTAAACCTGATCCTTAACTTAAACCTCAACCTCAACCTAAACCTAAACCTGAACCTGAACCTGAACCTGAACCTAAACCTGAACCCGAACTTAAACCTGAACCTGAACCTAAACCTAAACCTTATCATAAACCTGATCCTAAACCTGAACCTTACCCTGAATCTAAAGCTGATCCTAAACCTGCACCTAAACCTAATCCTAAACCAAAACCTAAACCAAAACATGAAGCCTAACCTAAGCCGAAACCTGAACCTGAACCTGAACCTAAACCTGAACTCAATTCTTAACCTAACCTGAGCCTAAGTATAAACCTAAACTTAAACCTTAACTCAAACCTGAAACTGAACCTGAATCTAAACCTGCACCTAAATTTAACCCTGAATCTGAACCTAAACCTGAGCCTAAAACTGAATCCAAACTTAAACCTAAATCCAGATCTGAACTTGGATCTATACAGGAATCTGAATCTAGACCTAAACCTGAATCCAAACCTGAACCAAAATCAAAACCTGAACCTGAACCTAAACTTACATCCTATCCTAAATCTGATAAAGAATCCAAACCCCTTCTTCAATATATAAACATGAACCTAAACCTTAAATTGAACTTAATAAAGTAGAAATAATTTATAAAATCTTGAAGATGAGATGAAATGCTTACCGCTAGACCAACTATAAGAAACCATAGAACCCTGTGAACAAATACTTGTCTTCTCTCAACAATGTATTTGATTCCATGAGTTGTACTACTCTCTCCATAATCTTGGATTGTTCCCAGGAAAGCCCCCATTATCCATTATATAAACGCATTCCTAAGATAATTATTTGATTTAAAAGGACTGTACACGTAATTAGGTGAACCTCCATTTATAGAGGGGTCATGTCCAATTCATAACGGTACCCTTTAACTGTTTTTTTTCGATATTATCCGTTCCTGGGGAACGATCATTTGTTCACGGAAACTAACGGAACGGAACGGAGAACGGAACGAACGATATTTAAAAAAAAGGAAGAACACGCCCAGCCCTAGTTCCTCATTAAAATGACATGCGGAGTTATGAAGCAAAATAAATTACAGACAATTTTGAGAATCTATTTTTAAGTCAAAAATGAGGGCTGAAAGGTTACCTAAATATGCCTTTTTATGATAACTGAAATCTACCGAAAAAAAGCACAAAATATAAATTTAAGTTGTTCATATCATAAAATGTTTAAAATACACGTGATTATTGAATTTAATTTTACTTACTCCGAGATTATTTAATTTATTTTTACTTACTCCGAGATTTTTTTCACGTACAATTTGCAGACACAGGATTTAATAGATTTGACTATCCCAAGGGGCACTTGAGAAATATATCATCCCGCCAAAAGTAAAAAATGAATGGCATGTTTTTCAAAGGGTGATAAAATATTTAGCTACAGTAAAAACCAGTAAAATCTAAAACAGGAGGACGACTTTAAGGATTTAAATATAGTCAAATGAACATGTCTTATGAGACACAGCAATTAAGTGCAGTGTAAACAGAGTCATTTAACTATTTAAATTGATTGTCAATCTACTGGTAAAACTATTTGCTTTGTAACAATATCAAATACAATTAATTATTAAGTTGATGTCGTCTTCCTAATTTAAGTTTTCTGGCTCTCACTGTTGATGGTTGAAATATTATGTATTTAAAACTATCGTATAACTAAGTCTACGAAGTTATATGATTTTATTATATACCCAATTTTTAACCAGGGCATAAGAAGGCATAAAAATATAATAAATATGAAAAAAAAATTCACAAATCAGGAAAATAAACAAATAATAATGTGTTCAAAGAGAAATGTTCTGATTTTGAGTTTAAAATTCATGGGGCGGACTTTTTTAATTTCTCCTTGATTTCATGTTGCTAAGTATTTACAACCCCCTCCCCCTCCCCCCCATATATGTGTGTATTAAGTAAATTTATTGAACCAATATTGCTCTGTAAATCACTGTTTATTATTGCTATTTGCTATTTTAATATCAAATCGTGAATTTATAGTACAACGGAATTTGCAACAAAATAGTTTGCAAGACATGCTAATTTTATAAAAGTTGTAAACGTTTGCTTAACGCAAATAGATTACTAAGTACAATAGGTGGCAAAAGAGAAACGGACCAATCATACACGACGTCACAAGTGTCAAATATAACAAGAAAAACGAAATTTTCTCACATTAGTTGACATGTTTTCCAAGATTAAAAAAAAAGTGTAAGAACAGAAACTAAAGAAAACATATAATTGCACTTGTTTTACAGGAAGATAAGAACTTTATTCTAAAATTATCACTATTTATAATAACTTTGTCAGACACATAAAAATGCTGATACTTGTGACGTAAGAATACTGCTATACTCAGAGTGTACAAATTCTACGTTGCCATCTATTGTACTGGACTCTATTTGACTTAAAGAGACTGGAGGTGTAATTTCAAATTACCATCCAGTTATGAAAGGCATGTCCGATTCACAACGGTATCTTTTTCCCCTTTAAAGCAGTAATAATTATTAAGATAAATTTTCAAAGAAAATATGTAGATTTTCTGAATGTTCTTTCTTGCTTTAAACTGTCCATTCATTGAGAACCTCATTTGAAAACATTTAATTTTAAGAATTAGAAAACAATGAAAATTTTGTGTACCATTTATTATAAATAAGTTACATGTAGAAGTACTGGGTGTCCCAGTAAACATGGGAATTAAGCGACGACTTTAAATCGTCTTTTTCCACGTGGCATTAATATGTGAACTCAATTTTTAAAGCATTTCCTGTAAAAATAGTTAATAAGTTGAACAGCATTGATAGTTCATATAGTGCGGAGATCGTGTCCGAGTTGATAGTTCATGATAAAGATAGATTGAGTCTGGTTGGACATTGATAGTTAAGTAAGATTGAGTTGTACCTGGATTGATACGTTTTGAGAAACCCTTCTGGAGTAGGGACTTTTAGTAAATGTAAAAAAAATAGCATGCTTTGCTAAATGTATTAGTTTTATGGCCGGTTCTAAACTTGTTCAAAAATTATATCTTGAAATTTATATGCATTTAGCCCTGAAAATTGATAGTTTTTAATTTTATGTGCTCGCATCTTATTCTATTTTGTCAAAAACATAATTCTGCTGTACATTGGATGAACAAACCCACTTTCAGAAAGTCAAAAAAACTGATTGCGCTGATTTCGGACAGAATTATTTCTGAACTTTTCGTTCTCTATATTTGTAGCCCTCCTATTTTTAAAATTTTTTAATTATTTTGCCCCAGAGTGAACAATTGTAATGGTTTTCTAGGGTTTAGATCAGACCCTTCATCATATCATTTTTAAGTAAAGTGTCAAAATTATTTGCAGATTTCAAATTCCCGATGTTATAATGAACCGATTCAATTTTTGCGGAATTCTGATTATTTCTTGGCGAATTTGTATGCCTATATTGTTGCTTTTACTGAATTCATACTGTAGCTTTTTGATGCAAATTTTATATTTGAATTGTTAATACATACTTTTATGAAAAATTAATTTTCAAAAATAAAGTTTAGGAAAAAAAAAAACATTTCTTCTCAGGTTTAAAACGAAACTGAACAGTCGGCACAATTTCCAATTATCCAATTGTCATATCTTTGTTTTATTTTAGACTACGAAAAATCTGCAAGATCAAGTTTTAAATGTCTAAAGTTTTAATATCATCAGGTTACAAAGAAATACTACCAGCCTCGCAAAAAAACGTTTAATTTGAGTTATAACATGAAATATGAAAAACAAATTTTAACCACAAAAGTTTAAATGGTTCCGTTGTGAATCGTTTCTGTTGGTTTGAATGAAAAGTTTTTTTTTTCAAAATGTATTTTATACTTCAGGACATTAAGTTAAAAATGGAAAATTAAAAAATCACTGTTTGTTTGAAATGAAATATTTCTATTAGAACTGGTCAGTTTAACGTAGTTTTTCAAACTATAATGCTTTCCTTTGGTTTACAGCCTAAATACATACACTTGATCCCCCCCCCACTTTCCCGTTTCCCCTC